ATATAGTAGTAACTACTAGGTATTATCTATATATTATTAGTAGTAATAAATAAGTTAATATAGAATTATAAGTCGATGTCTTAAATATATAAGAAAGAGAAGTGTAAGTAGATAGGTAGTACAAAGCGTTTAAGTCTATTAGGCTTAGTTTTAATAGCTTAAAAGTTTATTTATTTATTATTAATAATATAGTATAATATTATAAGATATAACGTAGTAGACTATATCTCTAAGGCCTAGAGAGATATATTATAGCTATAGCTCTACTTTATATTTATAAAGCGCTAGTAAAGATTTTTATTAAGTTCTTAGTACTTATAAAAGTAATAAAATAAAGAATACTAAACTTTATATAAGCGCTTAAGATAATTAGACTCTAAAATACTATTAAGAAGTTACTAATAAATATAATACTTATAGTAGAGATATTAAAAAGTATTATAGTTAAAAATTACTTTAACTACCTTACGCTAATAACTAGTATATACTAAATTTTTATTCTAGAAAGCTTTAGGCTTAGAAATTTTACTATAAGACTACTTATATAAGTAACTATTACTTTAACTTTTACTTAGAAACTTTAACTTTTTTTAATTTAAGATACTTTAGTTTCTAATATAGTTAGATTACTAAAGGCTTATACTCTAAGTCTAAAAAGTATTATTATTAATAAAGATACTACTCTAGAAATTATACTTAATAGTTTTATAAATAATTTTAATTATTAAAGTTATTAAACTGAGAGCGCTTATAACTAAAACAAGTACCTTTAATATGTAACTCTAAATATTTATAATACTTAGCTTAATTATTATAAAAGTTATTATTAGAGTTATTAGTTATTATAAAGCTTTAACTTAGTTAACTATTATTCTTTATAAAGCTTTAAGTTAGTTAGGTAGTAGAACTTTAATTACTAAATAAGTTATTAGCTATTATAATTCTAGAAAAGAGAAGTAAATATTAATTAGTATAGTAGCTAATTAGAGTTATTTATATAAAAAAAGCTAAGTGCTTAACTATAGAGTATTATTAAGTAAAGCGCTATTACACTAAGTACTATTACGCTAAGTACTAGCTTATATATTATAATTACTACTACTAGAAGTATTATAGTTAGAGCGTAAAATATAATTATAGTAGAAGCTAGAGTGCTAATACTTATAGCTATTATTTAAGTTAAAAGCTAAATTATTAAACTAAATTATAATAGTGAGCTATTAATTTAGGTATAGAAGTAACAACTTACTATAGTAATAAGAAAAATAAAAAAGTAAGTAAATATATTAATTAGAGTAAAGGCTATAAGTATAAAGCTTAAAAGCGCTAAAGCTTAAGAGCTAAGAATCTTAAGTAGAAGAGTTGACAAGATACGTTGCTTATTAGCTTATTAGCTTAAGTATTTTAATAATACAAAAAAAAAAAAATTATAGTAAAGAAAAGAAGAAGTAAAAAACTTATTATTATCAATAAAGTTTTTAATTATAGTCTAGTTGCGCACTTATATAAGTAGCTAGCGTAGCTTATTAAGCTATTAATTATACTATTAACTTTACTTAAAAAATACTAAAAGCCTAGATTCTACTATTAAAATTATTTTTTACTAGTTAAATACTTAGATTTTTATAGCTATTAGCTATATTTTAAGCTATTATAAAGTAATCTCTAAACTAATAAAGTTAATTTCTAAGCTTTTAAGTTTTATTTAAATAAAACTTAAAAGCTTAGTAATATTAGTATTAAGTATAATTAAATACTTATTTAAACTAAAACTTACTACTACGCTCTAAATTCTTAAGTCTAGACTTTACTAAAGTATACTAATTATAATAGATTTAATAGAAGTAGTTTTAGTAAAGTAAATTAATACTTTTACTACTCTAAAAAGTCTATTAAAATTAGAGAGTATTTATAATTATCTAATTATAGATACGTAATTACTTAGCTCTTAGATATATAGCTAGAGATTCTATTCTAAGTTTCTTATATAGTAGAATAATTATAATATACTTATTTATCTCTAATTATTAATTATCTTTAGCTCTAATAAAAAAGTTAATAAGTACTAACAGTATATAGAAATATAGAATCTCTTTATAAGTGTAGAGCTCTAAAAATTTAATAATTGAGTAAAGTATATTATAAGTATTCTTACTCTAAAGAGTAAAAGCTAAAGTAGAGTAGGTAAAAAAAAGATTAATTATAGAAAGTAAGTAAAAGCTATAAAAATTTAAATAGCTTAGTATTATACTTAAGAATCTAAGCGCCTCTAAAGCGCGTAGTATAATATATTAGTAAAGTTTCTATAATAGTAAAAGTATATATATAGTAAAGTAATAATATATATTAAAAGATATAGTATTATATTATTACTATTAATAGTAATTCTATAAAAGTAGCTAAATATAACACTATACTTAGTATATTAGTATATATATAAATAATATAAATAATTTATATAGTGTAGAGTAATTATATATTATATATAGTATAAAGTAGTATATAAAGTAAATATATAGTAAGTATATAGTAAGTAAGTATAAGTATAACTATAAGTATAAGTATATTATAAAAGTACTAGCTTAGTAGTTACTTAAAGTAATAAGCGCCTAAAGCGCTATATAGCTTTAGTAGACTTAAAAGCTATACTAAGTAAATGTATATAGGTAAGTTATTCTAACTTAGACTAAAGAGTTTAGGTTTAGAGCTTAGTATATTACTATTCTATTATAATTCTATATTTTAAGTAATAATAAGTAATTTACTTTATACTTATAAACTATAACAAAGTAATTAAGAAAATTAACTCTTTTAGTATATAGTATATAGTGTAATCTAAACTTATTCTCTTAGAATCTTAATTTTCTCTTATTAGAGGTTTTTAATCTTAAACACTAACTTAACTCTATACTAGAGTTTTATTAAAGTTTTATTACTTCTATAATATATATAGTAAAATTTATAAAAGCTTTATATAGGCTTATAATAATTATATATCTTTATATATTTAAACAAAGTAGTTTCAATAGGTATACTCTTTACTAAAAGATTAAAAAAATAAGTTAGAACAAAACTTATTTAAGATAGACTACTTTTCTAAGTATATATTTAGTAAAACTAAGATTGTATACTAGTTTTAAAAAAGTTTCTTAATTTATTATAGATATTACTAACTACTAAAGTATATATTTAAGTATTAAACGTCTTTAGTAAATATATATAGACCTTGTCTTACTATTAATATAATATCTTTACTAATAGTATATTACTTTAGTTTTCTACTTTAGTACTAAAAATAATCTAATATCTAGTTATTTACTTTACTTATAAAGCTATATAGACTTAGCTTATACTAGATAAAAGTATAGCTACTAATAAGTTAACTAGAAGTAGCTATTTAATTTGCTATAAAATATAATTACTATAATTAAAAAAAACATAGTTTTAAGTAGCTAAGAAAAGATAGTAAGTATAATAGTAGTAGCTATAAATAGAATAGAAAGTATAATAGTAGTAATTATAAGTTAAGTAGGTAGAACGTAGTAGAGATTTAGATTAATTTAAGTTATATATTAAACTATAGTAGTTAAAAAGCTAAGAATAAAAAGCTAATAAAAAGTGTAGTTATATAAGTATAGTAGTAAAAAGTATACTTTAAATAAACTTTATTTAGTATAAGAGAATATATCTTTTAATATCTTTTTTATAAATATATTTTATATAAATATATTTTATCTAGAGTTTAAAGTAGAATAAGATAATATAACTAATTTTTATAAAGTATTTTAAAAAGCTTAGTAAGTTAAGTATACACTACTATTATTCTAGATATATCTAGAAACTTATTAAGTATAAAAAGATATAAGCTTTTATAAATAGTTAACTTTATAAATCTAAATATAGTAACTATTATAAGAAATAAAAGTATAAAAGTAGTAAATACTAGAAAAATAAGCTTACTATTAGATATAAAGCTTAAAAGATTATTTAAGAAGTTTATTAAAAATATAAGAGCGTAAAATATCTATATATATATATATATTAAGTATAGAAGTAAGTAAGTACTAATAGTATGTAAAAATATATAATTTATTTATAAACGTAAAGCTCTTAAACTTAAATAATTTAATAAAGTATATTATAAGTATTCTTAAACTAAAGAGTAAAAGCTAGAGTAAAGTAAGTAGAAAGATAGAAGTAAGTTATAAGAAGTAGGTAATTAAGTAGCTATAGTAGTAAGCTTTTAGAATACTTATTTTAAGTTACTACTTTAATCTTTAGTTAGAAATATTAAAACTCTAGATAGAAGTAATATAATAAGCTTATAGTAAAAAGTATAATACTAAAACTCTAGATAAAAATAGCGCGCTTATATAAGTAAGCCTAAAATTCTAGATTAGAGTAAAATAATTACGCGTTATACAAGGTATAAAGTAATTAGTATAAACTCTAAGGTCTATCTAATAACTAAGCTCTACTAAAATCTAAGTACTACTTTTTAGTATTAGCTCTAAAGTAATATAGCTTAAATCTAGAATTTATTTACTTTAGATTTTATTACTAATCTAATGTACTATATAAAGTTGTCTTACTTATCTAACTATTTTATAATTTTAATTTATACTAGAGTATACTTAGTAATTAAAAAAGGTTTATAGTACTATATTATAGTATTTTTACATAAGAACGATTTATTCTTTAAAATCTATATATAAGTATTTAAAATAATAAACTTTAGACTTATATATATACTTCTATTATAGAATTCTATTTTTAGAATTAGCTTACTTATATTAAAACTATTTTTTTTTAATTACTAAAGAGCTCTTATAAATTATAAAATATATATTATAAGATTTTTAAATATTAATATAGGTTTTGCCTTTCTTAATATATTTAAAAAATTCTTTATAAGACAAAGTCTAAGGTAGAAGCATAAGCACAAGCGATGCATTCTTTGTAGCTAGCTAGCGTTCTACAGCAAACTATAGAATGTGTCTCTACTTCGCGAACCTCCAGCTGTTCACAACCCCCGTGCGCTCCTCCTCTGTGACCAAAGCCTTGTTCTTCTTACTACACCACCACTTCGTCACCAAACATAGCACTATAGTCAAGCCGCATCCGGCGATGATGCAGCCACCTCCGGTCTCGTACCTCGGCTCCTGGTTTCTCAAAAAGAAATACGGCGTGAACCAATGACTGACACTTGACACGCAGTTTGCGATAGCAATGAGTGCCGCCCTTTTCGTTCGTGGTCGCGGCACGACAGTAGTCTCCCATGAAAGCTGGATATTCAAGCCTACGAACGGGCCACAGCAGAGCAATATCATGGAGAAATACCGTGCACCTGTGTTGAGAGTGCTGATCATAATGATTGCGCCAATCAGGGTAGTCGAAATAGCACCGATGATGTGATAGCCATGCTCGAGCATGCGACCAGACGACCACGAGACGACTAGCGTCACAATGTAGGCGATGACGTATGGCGGAGCTTGGACAAGGTAAGTCTCGACCTTTCCAAAGCCAAGGGTGTCCATGATAGATGGGAAAAAGTCCTTGAACGACTGGGCGATAATCAGGGAGAAATGGATGCCAGCAAACAGCCACGTGAACGGGTCCCGAATCGCCTGCATTAAGCCGCCAATGTAGTCGCCTTCGTCATCCTCCGTCACGCATCCGGAAGATACGGATTGTCGGTATTGCGCCATCTGCTGCTCTTCTGGAGTGAAGTAGTAGGTTCCAGTGTTGTTAGGGAAGTTTGGTAGAAGCCAGAACCCAGGAATGGCAACCATGATAGACACGATACCCTCGAGCAAGAGGAACCACTGCCACGCATGCAAACCCGCGATGTTGTCCATGTTGGTCAAGATGCCTGCGGCAAGGAGACCGGAGAAGACGTTTGATACGATGTTTCCTGCGTGCCAGATAGCCATGCGCAAAGGGCTCTCTTGCTTTGTATACCAGCTAGACGTCATGAGCGCCACGACCGGGAGGAATGGGCCTTCGGTGAACCCCACGAGGAAACGACAAAGCATAAAGTGCCAAGGTCGGGTGCAAGCAGGCATGCATATCGTGACGGAGGACCACGCGAGCATAATGCAAGGCATCCAGATACGAGGCTTCTGCTTGGACATGATGATGTTGGCTGGCACCTGTGAGATAATGTATCCCACGTAGAAGAGCGAGATGCCAGCAGACCACTCCACATCCGTCATGTGGATATCATGCTGCATACCAGCAAGACGTGCATTTGAGACGTTGATGCGGTCGAGGTAGCTGTCCAATGTTAGTCTATGTGTTTTCGCGCCACATTAGCTTGGGAGCTGTTTTACTTCATCAAGAGCATTAAAGTGATGATGAGCAGAAACTTCCAGTCGAGCTTCTTCAGAACAGCCTTGTTCAGCCTCTCAAGTTCATCCTTGGTCTTCCCTCGCAGCAGAGGGTAGTGTTGAAGGAAAGTCTCGGCTTCCGAAAGTCCAGCATCCTCCACCTTGATGACTTCACAACTCCCCTTCAAAGATCCGTCGTCGGTAGTCATGGAGGCGGTCGCAGGAACGGAAAATAGATGGATGGTGGATTTGAAGGAGGAAAGGCCCGAGCAGTGCGGTGTAACGCAACGGCTCTTTGAAGGCAGCGGCTTCTTTATACCTGGCTACATGGGTTATCTTCTTCCAGGTGTCGATGTAGTAAGCATCTGCCAATGCGCACTGCCGTCCTTCATGGTCTCGCTATAGCATCCCGTTTGGCTTCAACGACGTCCAGCGTGCGGGGATGGGTTGTGCCGTCCACGCCTTCCCCGGACCCCAGACGCGCTATGCTCCGCGCGCCTGGGCGATGTCTGTGGAGTCATCGATTTCGGTGGTCGTCCGATGTGCGTGACATCTCGGTGGGCATCCGAGGATTGAGCTACGCGTCGGTGGTCGCCCGTAGCGTCTCGTGGAAGCGGGGCAAGAAGAAACGCGTGAACGCGGATGCAGCTGGCAGGGGCGACCGAGCGCTTGATGGACCCTGCATGACTCAGGCACGGCACGCGGCTGACACACGTCCGCCTCGCCACCCCCCTCATTATCCATCGTCAACATCGACAACGCTGACGTGCCGTTCGCGGCTGGGAGCTGTGTGCGCTGATGCTCGGCGCTTCGGTCATGCTCCGAAGGCATCACGGTGACCGGCTGCGGCCGCTGGCATACACTACTATGCTGGGTAAGCTTATTCCACAGGAGTTTGCGTTCACGTACATATGACAGTCGGTATCGCTACAACAAGAACTCTTGTATAGCTCAAAGTCTATCCAATCCCCTCTTGTTGAATCATTCACCCAACCTCCGAGCTCGATAATACCCGCAAACATGGCGGAACTCACTCTTCACAACTCGATCCGGGAGAAGATGCTCCGCGATGAGGTAGCCTACACGCTGTCCGTAAAGCTTGTCCGCAGCGTTGAGCTTCCGATGATGGCGAAGACCGCGGGATTTGATGGTATTCTCATCGACATGGAGCACTCGACCTTTGACTTGGACACTACCAGTACGTTCTCTCCTCAGCGCCCCGCCCCTCTCCAGAAACTTCCAAGCTAACGTAGGATAGGTCAGATATGTATTGCAGCTCTTTACGCCGGCATTTCACCCATAGTCCGCGTCCCATCCAAAGACCCTTTCTTCGTCTCTCGAGTACTTGACGGAGGTGCCATGGGCGTTATAGTCCCGCACATCCGCTCTGTACAAGACGCCAAAGACGTGGTAGCCGCCGCCAAATTCCAGCCCCTTGGGCATCGCTCCTCGACGAACAATATGCCACAATTCCAGTACCGACACCTCGCCGCAAAGGCAATGAGTCCTGTGTGCAATCGCGAAACCCTTGTCATTCCCATGGTAGAGACGCTTGAAGCAGTCGAATGTGTTGAAGAGCTAGCCGCCATTGAAGGCGTTGACAGTCTACTGATCGGCACTAATGACATGTGCGCCGAGCTGGGTATTCCAGGACAATACGAGAGCCCGCAGCTACTCGAAGTGTATGAGAAGACGATTGACGCCTGCAAGAAGCACGGCAAATGGGTCGGCGTAGGAGGCCTGCACTCAAGACTAGACCTTGTGGAAAAGTTCTGCAAGATGGGCGCGCGATGGGTTATGGCGGCGACAGATGGACCGCTGCTACTCGGTGGAGCTACGAAGCGAGCAGGCGAGATGGCACAACTGAACGCAAGGGTCAAGAGTTCGACTGAGGCCACTCAGCCTGAGACGAACGGAGCCACTGTTGCGTCAACCAACGGAATTATCGATGCATTAAAAGAAAAGGCTAGTGTGACAGTACAAGAATTGAAGATGAACGATCACGTCAATGGGCATGGGAATGTATTAGCAAGCTCTTAGCTGTCGACATCTTGTATCATATAACAGAATGTCGGATCACATATGTAATCTGGATATACTCAACCATGATGACTAGTCTCAAATTCGCGATAATTTGATGTAAAGCGTTCGCTCGTAGAATGATCCTGACTGCGAGATCCGAGACGCGCTAGCTTCCGGTTTGGTATCCGGTACCTCGGTTCCTTCACGACTTCGAAACCACCATCTTTGAACCCAGGAGCTAACTCTACTATCATCCACCAATATGATAAACTTGCAATCGCAAGCCTGCGAAAGATGCTGGAAGCGGAAACAGAAGGTTGGTGGTTACTCCTTCTTTGCACATAAATGACAGCACGTCAAGTCTGCTCGATACCTGTTTCTTCCCACAACTTGCGATCGAACCCGCGCACATAATCACTGCAATTCCATCGCACCCTCAAAAGACTAACCTGGTACCTAGTGCTCTCGAGATACTCCAACGTGTCAGCAATGTCGCGTCGCCGCATCGCAATGCGTACAACGTCGCCTTGGCTCCGTAATCGACGCTTCGGATCCATCTTCCGTCTCATACATTGAGTCTTTGAAGTTGAGGATTGCCGCTCTGGAAGCAAGGAGCAGCCGGCATTCTAACATGCAGCACGAGGTCACGAACGATCGAGAGTCACCGAATCAGCCTTGGAATAGCAACTTGTCCACCTCTGGCACTCCCCACAGGTCAAATGCTGGGACGATAGACTCATCGGTAGTCGAGCCCGGGTCGAGTAACGACTTGCATCATGCGATGCACGAAGCCAATTACTTGAGTCTTAGTGCAATGGCAGAGCCGACGGATCGACAGCCATTTTCCAACCAGGGACTTTCGTTCTCGACGCTGTTTCTTGCCGCAGCGAGTATAGGCAACACCAACCCGAGCAGCCCCATCGGAACCAACACATCACTTTCTGGGCCTATGGCGGACTTTCGTAACGAGTTATTCTCCCAGGGCAGTACACTAGATGGTGCTCGGGCGGCTGAAGCGTTCAGATGGTTTGTCAAAGTAGCTCCCACAACCTTTCCCGTAATGACGCGCAGCGAGCTCGAAGACTTGTACAGCATCGTCGTAACGGCCGAGAGAGATACAAACGTTGGCATGATGATGGACGAGTCGCCAGAGAAGATCCTACTTGTCAGAGTAGGCATTGCACTCGGGTTACTGCTATCGCCGGATCACAGCTTCACGGAAGTCTTGATAACTGAGTTGACAACAAAGGCCGCGCAACTCATGCCTCGCATACTCAACCAGTCGAGCGACTTGGCAGTCGTGCAATGTCTCACAGCTCTTGCTATATGTTCAATCTACACCACACATTGCGGCTCTTCCTGGCATTTACTTGGACTGGCCATGACGCGCTGTATATCCGCCGGTATGCACACGTCACGCATCTCCGATATGAGCTCAGACAGCGAGATCAAAAGGCAGAACGGGAGAGCTTTTTGGACCTTGTACATCCTGGACACCCACCTCAGTACGGCTATGGATCGGCCATTTTGTCTCAACGATGGCAATATCATGATGTCGCCACCAGCTTCCCCACAGCCTGCAGCAACGGATGCGGAAGCGAACGCTTTGCGATATCTCATACAACACGCGCAGCTCTTGCGCTCGATTCGAAAGCACACTGATGAAGATTTGCTTTGTCACTTCATCAATCTATGTCATTGGAGAGAAACAGTACCGAGCGCAGTGGTAGCGGAAGACCTGCTCAAAGACCAATTGCATGCCAGTGGTCTCGCGGAAATAATCAAGTGCCCAGGTTTGGCACAAGATCCCGGTCGAGACATGATGTTGCGACACATCGAAGAGCACTTCGTTGGCTACGCGGCTTCCGTCGAACACCAGCTTACCGGTAGAGAGCGGGCGTCAGGAGCTCTCGATGGCTACCTTATCTTCTTCATCGGCCTTTTCATCGCATCGCTGTCGCCTACCCAGGAGCGACAGAGATGCGTGCTCCGATGCCTGAGCAGTCTCACTGTGCTCTCAATCCACTACACTGCTCTCCAAGGCTTTCGCAATATCCTCATGGCAATCCAATCTCGACCATCATCTCACGAGCATCTCAAAAGCTTAGTGGCTGCGTCGGAGATCGCGGTGTCGTGCCATGTGCGACGACTCATCTTCGGCAGTGTATGAGCGGGCAAAGCCAACAACAGCCGAAATACGCCGACATCCCATTGAGAGTTTCAACGCTCACGTCATTTGCGCTGCTAGATCTAGTTCCGATTTACAGTAATCATGAGGCGCGGTGTTCCAATCCGACAGAGCAGAGCGGCCCCGGAAAAGACATGGGTGAGGGGTCGAATTGCTCGGGCAGTCGGACACCCCCCGAAGCTAGCGCTGCGGCCCTTTCGGTGGTCGCCCGACGAGCTCTGTTGCTCCGCACATGACCCAATCTGCTGGTGTACTGACACGGCATTGGCTTCTGCATCAGATTCAGATGTGGAGTCTAGTTCTAATGCCCGGCGTGTGGGTAGTGCGGCTATCCACATACATCTAGGTACACATCACCTTGGGTGTGGCGGCCATATACTGTCAAGACGCGCAGTGCGACATTACTTTAGACTTCAAACTCTCCTCACAAACCTATTTGAGTCGCTTGCTTCGCGCGATCGTTGTCATCATGGCTCCCGCACTTATCGAATCAGAGACATTTGCCCTGTCCTCGTCACCGTCAAATGGCGTAGACAAGGCTACTGTTTACCTGCTCGATACACTACATCCCGAAGCCATAAAACGCGCACAGTCATTGTTCAACGCTATCCTCCCTTCAGACCCCAAGCATTCGGAATGGAGGGGAAAGGCCGAATATCTGGTCATTCGCGGATCATACCTTACCGCAGAAGACGTCGAAGCATGCAAGAACCTCAAAGCCATCGGCAAACAGGGCGTCGGGATCGACAAGATTGATGGCGAGGCCTGCAGAGCGCGCGGTATCAAGATCTTCAACACGCCAGGAGTCAATGCGCAGGCTGTCGCGGAGACGGTGCTTACGCTCACGATGTCTGTGGCTCGTGAGGTTGGTCGCATAACAGCGCTGCAAAGTGCCGGATTTAGCGTGCCGAAGGAGACTTGCTCTGGTTTGATTATCAACAAGAAGACGGTCGGGATCGTGGGCATGGGTAACATCGGCCGCAAGGTTGCGCAAATCTTCCAAGGCGGATTAGGGTGTCGCATCGTAGCGTACGACCCACTACTGCCAAAGGATGCTTGGGAAGACATCGCGCATACCCGAGCAGAGACTCTTGAGGAGGTTCTTCGAGCTTCAGATGTGGTAACACTACACGTTCCTCTAATACCACAGACCCGGGGTCTCATATCGTATGATCAGTTCAAGATCATGAAGCCCACTTCCATCTTGATCAACGCGGCCAGAGGCGGGATTGTGGATGAGGCCGATCTCGAACGCGCCTTGAGGGAAGGCCTGATCTGGGGTGCGGGTCTCGACTGCCATGAGCATGAGCCTCCGATCAAAGATAAATATGGTAGTTTGTGGGAAACGGGACGGGTCGTGAGCACTCCGCACGTAGGTGCTGCAACGGCCGAGACGCAAATGGAGACTGCGATGGCGGCAGTGGATCGATTGTATGACTACATCCAGACTGTACAGGCGCTCTAGCTAGAGTGCTGCTCACCGAATCGTGTCCGGTTCTGTTTCTAGCTCTTTCATTTGTTTAATTGTAGGAGAAAGAATCCCAATAGTCTACGTTAGTGTTCAACGAGCCCCATGCGTACTCGCCCAACCCGTATTCAAGTTGGTTCATAAGGTCATCAGTCAGACCCATGCCAAAGTCTTGCGAACCTTGGTGATTTGGAAGGTCAGGAAAGTCTCCGAGCATCAAGTGATCCAGATTTTCCCGTTCTTGCTGCTCGCCAACCGATTGAGAGTGATCTGCAGTGACGGTGTCTACGCTCAAATGCAGCGAACCCGCATTGAGGAGGTGATTGGGGTAGACTTGCGTATCATGGGCTGGAAGCAGTTGATGAATTGGCTGGGTTGGATTTGCGGGGACATTTTCTGACACCTGTAATGCAGATGCAAACCGATCTTTGACGAACTCTGCTAGTATAACAGTGAAGACAGTGGCGAAAGAACCTGCGTCCGGCATTTTGTCTTTGAAGTAGTTCAACAACGCACTGCAAGTGTTCAGTGTTGGCAGAGCTTCGGTATGAGTGACAGAGAGCTCGTCATTGTCGGCCAAGACCCCCAGGATAATGCAATAGATGACAGTAAGACCTGCAGTAAAGATCATCTGAAAGTAGCTGCGTGTCCAAGTGATGGCATTTTTGCTTCGAAGGTCTGCATACAGTTGTATTGTATGTATCGCGGATTGATAGCACACTTTCAGTATCTCCTTTACGATGGACGTACCGGAAAACTGCCGCGATGGTAGGTTGTGCATGGCGCCACGAGCAAGCAGGAGGCGGTCCTTCTCGTACATGAAGTCATGCCATTCAGAACGCTCGTACAGACATTTGGGGTCTACGAAGACTGGTACTGACGATCGCAATGCACGGAGATCTTTGTCGAATTGTGAGAATGATGAGTATATGTGGCCTATCGAGTGAAATCCGGGCGTGCGAGTGTTGTCTCCACCATGGTGTGAGGCGGGCTTTCGACCAGCGTAAAAGGCAGTGTGCACCCCAGAGCTTAGCCGTCGCAGCTTGATGCAAAACAAGTTGACTGATAGCTCGCTTGGGTGAACGTTCGTAACATTGGGAACTTCTTCAAGTACACTAGCCCCAGATGTTACGATTGTTACGTCGTCAGCATCAATCGGTAGTGGCATACTTATCTCCGACTCGAGAAGAGCGAAAGGACGACCTAGTATGCCCGAGCTGTAACGGTCGTGGACGTAGCATTCCCAGAAAATCCTGCGCTGGTGTTGTTCTTTCAATGGACTCAGGCCGTCCTGTGCCTTTGAATGAAGACCCCACTCGATGCACTGCCGCATGCACAAGCGAGATATTTCCCAGATTGATGCGCCGATGTGATGGTACATGCCGAATCTCGCTATCAGCAATAAGTTCTGGATGGCTTCCGTATCTTTGATCAATGGTATGCCCGGAAGATAGTGTTCAGCCGCAAGGTAATAGCCGTACGGATGCTCGTCACTGCTGCCATCGCCCTGGCAAGCGCGATGCCTGGTCGTATCGCTGATCGCGAACACCATAAAGAGGCGAAAGTAGTCCTGGGCCACGGGTCTTTCTGATGCTGGCGAGAAAGAGTAAACCCTGTGGAAGGCGTCCTGCGTCTCGCTACGAAGGAGAAAAGCATGATGGACATGGAAACGTGTGAAATAATTATCAAACAATTGCTGTGCTTGCGCAAGTGGTGGTAGCGCTCGGGCGACTGGTCGATACCTAGCAATGCGAGGGCGCTTCGCAAGTTGCTCGAGGATTTGTGCGCGATGGTGTTGCCATTTGGTGTCAGAAAGGATATTCTGCAAGAAGCCCAGGCCGCTGCCGTCGCCAACAAATCCGTTCTGGGTACCTGAGCTCGTTGCCGTCTCAGGGCCTGTTGGTGTCTGATTGGCGGCGTCAGATCTCTCGGTGGAGCCTGGTGTCACAACACCCGTGTCGTCGAGATCGCCCAGCCTACGCTGCAGATTGAGTTCCTTCTCTTCCAGCTGCCGAATGTAGTCACGTGCATACTGCTCACCAGTAATGGGATCGACGATAATGCAGGCGATGTTCCCCTTCCGACAGCTTGTGCATTTGGGTGCTTGCCTGTCGCATTTGACCTTACGCAGTTTGCACTTTTGACATGCGGGCAGCTGGTATTCGCGCTCTTCCATCGTGAAACATAGTCGTGGGTGCTAACTTGCAGGTCACAGAATGTTTGTCGAAGGTTAGTGGAGATGGAGAGGCTGGGGCGGTCCCGAGTCTAGGGTGCTGGTAAGTTGGCGGTGGCGGCATGGGGACGTAGCCGAAAACATGCGGGGGTCGTCACACCACGCCTCCACTCACCATCGCATGGAAGGCGCGACTTGTCGGCAACCCTCAATGCCTGTTCCCAGACCATCTCACAGTTACGATTGTTTCTTGCGCGCGTCTCCTAAACATTAACATAACAGGACATGCTCATCACTGCGTGCAGGAAAAAATGGGTATTTTAGCCACCCATCCTACCATGCAACAGCTCGCCCTACAAGTAACGCGTCGATGTCTGGAGGATCCAGGCATTACATCACGCGAAATGTTGATGTTGTAGTCCGTCACCAAGCATAACGTCTTGCCCTCTCTTGTTGAGTAGTAACATTCTAGGACGTATGCTTCATCAACGCTGTGTTGTAACCTCTCAGAACAGTCCGTTGGAAGCGCCCCCTGATATCGCGCCTCCTGGTTCTTGGAATACACACGCAATCGACTGCGGGTTGCTGGATTCCGGACGATCCGCGAGTACTTTAAACTTTCAAGATTAAGCCGTGCTCGGCCCTTCATCGGCATCTGTGCATGCGAAGGTACAAAGTACGTGAGTCGCCATTATCGTTACATGTTTGCATACTACCAGACTTTATCAATACCCATTTTCGAACTTAACAGCCGACTCTTGTTCAAATATCCAACACCATGGCCATGATCGTAGATATGGTGAAGAACAAGTGGGGCGCTCCACCCAAAGAGTCCACCGAATCGTTCGCGGGACGCAACGTCCTGGTGACGGGCGCCACCTCTGGGCTGGGATACGCGGCAGCGGCCAAGTTCGCGAAGTTAGGCGCTTCAAAAGTCATCATCACAGCAAGAGACGAGGCCAAGGGCGAGTCGACCAAGAGCAAACTCGAAGCAGACGTCGGCAAAGCAGGTCAATTCGAAGTCTGGCAGCTCAACATGGATTCGTACGATAGTATCGTCAAGTTTTCGCAGCGGGCTATCACCGAACTGGACCACCTGGACGTGGCCATCTTGAACATCGGCATCTTCAATACTTCTTACAAGCAGTCGGAGTATGGCTGGGAGCAAGACCTTCAAGTCAACACGCTTTCGACCATATTGCTCGGTATCCTTCTCTTGCCGAAGTTGAAAGAGTCGCAAAAGCAATCAGGAAAGATACCCGTACTGCAATTCGTCAACTCAGGCATGCACAAGGTCGTGGAGATCTCTGCCGACGTTCGAAACAAGCCCGCTATCCTCCCTGAGTTCAATAAAGAAGACAAATACCCCGGCGGCCAGAAGCAGTACGGTTATTCGAAGCTCCTCCAGCGATACGCCGCCGTTGAGCTCGCAAAGAAGATCCCGTCCAGCGAAGTCATCATCACGGCAGTATGTCCCGGTGCGGTCGTAACGAACATCGATCGCAATGTCAAATTTCCAGGTGTCAAGATCGTGAGGGCGATCGCGCATGCTTTGGCGTTCAGGACGGCGGACTTAGGCGCCAACATATACATTACTGGCGCCTCGCAGAACCAAGAGCAACATGGAAGGTTCTATGCGACCGATAAGATCGAACCCGATGCGCCGAGTATTGTCGGGGAAGAGAATGAGAAGCTTGCGGTTAGGGTGTTGAATGAGATTGTAGAGGAGCTGGCAAAGCATGTGCCTGAAGTAAAGGACCATCTTCCATGATACCTTGATTAGTCCGTCCATAGTAATGTCGAAGGTAATCAATCGCGCAGACGTCCTGAATAGTGTCTAGCTCGTATTTTTCGCTGAGTGCTACCTCTACCTGGCGACGGCATGTTGCCACTGCTACTCTCACAGGCTCAAGGGTCGATCGGCAACCTAAACGACGCTTCATCCAAGAGATAACCGCAGGTGAAAGCTGAATTCAAGGTGAATGTAACAACGTGCAACACGTGAGGTTGAAGCAGAGGGGTGGATGGTTCACACGTGTAGACCTGGAGCACTAACGCACGCTTTGACCACCAGCTCCACCAAAAAAGTTCAGCGGCAGGCGCGAACTTCAGTGCAACCATCAGCGCATTCACCCACCACCAGCCTCTGCCAGACATCCAGAGCATGGCGCCGCCTTCCCACTCGCCCGATACGTCAATCTCTTCGCATACCCTCTCTATCGGCTCCGCGCAACCGCCGCCCATGGAACTTCCACCAACCGCGGCGACTTCGCCCACAAGTCTCCTCACCAAACCGCTAGCCTTCCTCCAGCCGACCGCCCAGCTCAATGCGACATTCCTTGCCGCGGCGAAACGATATCTCGATCCAGTAGCCGCCGGCGTAAGCGCGTCACAATCACAGCGACAGCAAGATCTGCGCAAGAAGCGGAAGCGGGGCGGCGGCTACGACGATGATATCAGTGTATTGCACTTGAAGAAGGTGCACTTGGACGGATTTGGCGTCAACCAGGTGTTCGAACAGACACGCAAGATTGTCGAGGCGACGACAGATGAGATTGAACTTTCTTTGCCCGATCAGGATGATGGCGTTGTCGCTATCCGTGATGGCGAGGAGGACGACGATGAGGGCATTGAAGAGGCCGAGGAGGAATACCACACCGAATCAGACATTGGCGAAGAGGGCGTGGACTGGGAATACGATGGTGTCGACGAAGACGAGGATGAAGAAGCGCTTGACGGCGAGCCGGATGACGAGGACATCGACAAGGAAGATGGAGCAGACGGCATGTTCTCCGACGATGCGTCAGACGATGCGCCAGCAGAAACCTACCAACCCGATCCCAACGGTCTCAACGACGGATTCTTCTCCATAGACGACTTCAACAAGCAAACCGACTTCCTAGAGCAGCAGGATCAGAGGGGAGAGGGTGTGGACAGCGACGATGACGAAGTAAACTGGGAGGCAGACCCCATGGAAGACGGCCCATCCACAGGCAAAGCCAATGGTATCGCAGGAAATGCATCCGACGATGAGTCTGACGAGGGCGGACCAACCTTCGGCAACGTTGATCTAAATGCACCGGATGGCGACAGTGGCGATGAGGACGACCTCGAGGACGGTGACCTGGACGGTCTTGACACCGGTATGAACGCCAACAACGTCATGTACAAGGACTTCTTCGCGCCTCCCGCACAAAAGGCGAGCAAGAACAAGAACGGCAAGAAGCGCGGACGACCCAACCCCCACAACTTCCCTGAGAAGCAGTCACAACCAGCAGAGGAAGTCGAGGAGGACGTGGAAGGAACCATGGCCAGGGTACACCGAGATCTCTTCGAAGATGACGACGATATGGAAAGCGAGGGCGACCTCTCCGACGTAGACCCCTCAGACCCAAAGTCGAGACGATCAACACACGAGCGGAGACAGGCCAAGATCGCAGAGGAGATCCAGAAACTGGAAGCAGCCAACGTTGCAAAACGAGAATGGCAGCTATCTGGTGAAGCACGCGCAGCAGACCGACCAGTAAACTCGCTTCTCGAAGAGAACCTCGAGTTCGAACGAGCCGGCAAGCCCGTCCCAATCGTCACACAAGAAACCTCCGAAGACATCGAAGCGCTCATCAAGCGGCGCATCCTCGCCGGCGAATTCGACGAGATCCACCGCCGCCGACCCGACGACCTCGCCACCGGCCCCCGACGCGGCCGCTTCGAGCTCGACGACACAAAATCCGGCAAAGGCCTCGCCGAAATCTACGAAGAAGAGCATCTACGCGAGACAGACCCCAACTTCGTCGAAGCCAAAGACGAGAAGCTGAAGAAGGAGCACGACGAGATCACCGCGCTATGGAAGAGCATATCCGCCAAACTCGACTCCCTCAGCTCCTCGCACTTCAAGCCCAAGCCCGCAGCACCCAACCTAGAAATCCGCACTGATGCGCCCGCCATCGAAATGGAAGATGCACGGCCCACCGCCGGCGGCGAAGTCGCCAGCGCAAGTATGCTCGCGCCGCAAGAAATCTACAAGCCGGGCGAGGACAAGAGCAAGAGCGAGATCGTTACCAAGAGCGGCATGCCAGTCGCCCACGACGAGATGTCGCGGGAAGAGAAGATGTCGAGGCGGAGACGTGCAAAGGAGAGGGCGAAGAAGGCTGGTCTTAATAAGCCGGTGCAGAAGAAGACGGAGGGCAAGGAGAAGAAGAGGGGTGAGAAGAAGCAGCTTGTGTCGGATCTTAAGAAGGGTGGTGTACAGATTATTGGACGCAAGGGTGTTATTACTGATGTTGAGGGTAAGGAGGTTAAGGAGGCTGCGAAGAGAGGGGCTGGTAGCTTTAAGCTGTGAGGAGGTAGATCGGGAATGCAAGTCGTATCATGACATATTCGAATTCGTTGCAGCAGGTTCTATTCACTCGATTCTGAAGCGCTGGTATGCGTCGTTCTCCCGTCTGAACTTGTAGTCGTCTCTCCGTATATGTTCCTTCCAAACCGGATTCGTTCGGCGATAGCATACTACGAACTTCATACGGACAAGCATAGTGGACATAGTTTCGTTACTCAAGAACGTTCATTTGCAATACATACATCGACTTTATCATTCCATCATGTACACATTACCCATCCCATATCATCCCGTGTCATCTCCCCCTCACAGCACAACCATACCAACCGCACACCCCGCCGCCCCAATCACCATCCCCCAAACACTCCAAGCCCCTACAAAACTCGCCTGACTACTACTCGGCCTCGCCTTATCCGTCACACCGGACTGCCCACTCGCAGTCGCCGTACACTGCTCACCACAAGCATACCCATCGGGACAGCAATTGCCTCCCTGATCCGCAGCGCAACTATACCACGCACTGGGACAGCTCCCCGCACTCTCTCCAGCACCCGTAGGCGCAACGATAACAACACCGTTCGTATTCACAATAGTATCCGTCTCGGGTAGCGCACAAGACCCCGTGGTCTGGCAATCGCGACCAACGCGGCAGCAGCCGGAGGGGTAGTACGCGCTGCAGACGTAGAAGCCGGCGGGGCAGACGTTGTCGCTGGGGGAGGCGGCGTCGGTGGTTGTTACGGCGGCGCTGGTGGGGCGGACGGGGGCGTCGGGTGCGCGCGTGGAAGACGGGTTGTCGTCGTCGCCGAGGCAGGAGGCGCCGGTTGCGCAGGTGCGGCCGTTCATGCAGCAGCCGCCGCCGAGGGAGGCGGGGCAGGAGAACCAGCCTGTTGAACAGGTGTATGCGGAGCGGGAGGTTGAGGTGGAGGTTGGGGAGGGGGTGCTGGTGCTGGTGGGGGTGGTTGGAGGGATGGCGGCGGCGGTTGTGGTGGTTGAGGTTGAGGTTGGAGTTGCGGAGGTGGAGGGTTGGATGTAGGCTGTTGATGTGAATTCTGCGACGCCTGTACGGATTAGAAACTACTCTCGTGATATTAGGAGGGTTGAACTTACATCCAATACCCTGACACTTGAAGCCCGGCAAACAACACCCTCCATTCTGCGCATCAGGACAACTCGTATACCCACTCGCCTCATCACAGCTCACACTGCCCGCGCAAGTCTGGCCCTGAGGACAACACCCCACATCGCCTGCACTTGAGCTACCACTGACACTAACACAGGTGCTGCTCGTGCCGCAGCACACATCCGGCGCGCCAATGCTCTCGCAACTCGTCGTGCCATCTGGACACTTGAACTGGCGGTTCAGAAGAATATCTCTGATATGCATGCGCGCCAGCCAGTCTGACTGAGCCAGTGGACGAAGCGGCGAAAGAGCCTGCGACGTCGTATTGCCAAAGACATCATAGTCTGATCTCTTGGACGATTGCAGCGACGGGGTATCCGCGGCGAATATCCAGTTGTCCAGCATAAACATCTCGCCCTCGTCCATGCTCATCTTCTTGACTCCAACGGGCTTCTCATGTTGCAGCCTCTGCTTGACGCTCAACCCCCTCTTCACATATTCCTCATCTTCAGGAAAGTATTTCAGGTGTTTGGGTACATTGTGTGGCCATTGCGGTGGTGATTCGGCGAGTACGGGTGTTGCGCAGAGGGCGATGATGGCGGGCGGGAGGGCAAGTAAATGTGGTAGGTACATCATGTCAATGTCAAGGTCGGAGAATAATTCAATTCGGAGCAGGTGCAGGAAGAAGCACCGCAGACAAGCTTGTGAGAAAGTGTGGTTGTCTGCTTATGGTTGGGATGTCAGTGGCTGGTGGAGCAACGCCGGAGCTACGACTCAGGTAATTGGCGAGGCTGGGATGCGTTGGCGCCTCACCGCCGATAGCTGGGCAGGGTGCATCCTGGAACCCGCCGTTACTGCGACGATGAGGCTCGTTTGGCTAGTAGGAAAGGCTAAGATGGTATAGTTACTAGTGCTTTGGTATTTGGTGATTTAGAAGAGGGGACTGCCAAACGTCATGGCGGCATGCATGTTCCGCTGATTCCGAGCTTTCATCTGCAGGGGCTTGTCGACCTCCATCCAACTCATCCATCCAGCCTCAACCATCGACGCATCTACTATTTGGTCAGCGTGAGAGTTGCCTATTATCCGAGCCAAATATCCATCGCGACATCGAGACGGAGCATAGGCAATACTCGAATCAGCACGTTCGCCTTCTGGTCAGGCTTCTTGATCTCAACGCGGTGTCACTGAATAGTCGACACAACGAACACAGAAGCCGGTTGCACGGCCAATTCCATTGTACATATATTCAGATGATGCATAACGCGAGGGGAGATCTCCGTCAATGGCCACCGACCGCTTGCCCCAGCCAGTCGGATGGCTAGCCTACTCCTTTTTCAACCCACCAAGATAGTGTTGCAGCGCGTATCGCGCGGACCTCCGTTTCCTCAGCCCGTCGTACCAACTGGTCATCTTATACAAACGACCCTGTTGTACCACCTGAGTCTGTCGAACAGCACGACTTTTCCACACCGATCAAGCCTGCAGACCCTTGCGAGCCTTGCGCTCGCTCATGCGCTGGTTCTCCAGCATGGCCACCCAGATAAAACAGGGCACAAATGCACAAGTCCCCATCAAAACCATGATCTTCTGCGCGTCGCCGAACGCGTGTACCACAGCCTGACGCTCCGGACTACCCCATGGCAGTGACAACTGCATAGTGATATCGCCATAGATCTTTGGAGCCAGGTGCTTCGATCCTTCAGGAAGGTATTCGACGAGCCTCTTGGGTACGATTTGAGCCCATAGAGTGCCGCTAACAGATTGGCCGATCGCACCACCAACAGCCGTGACGAGGTTGAGAAGCGCGATAGCAACAGCGACTTGGTCGTGCGGTACAGCCATCATGATAGCAACTTGCTCCACGTTGTAGAGCATAGCGCTCGCCATGGCGCCGAGTACCTCCACCAGGATCAGGATTGCTATCGGGGAGTCGGGTGTGCGGAGATAGATCAATAGACCAGTCATGAGTAGTTGAGTGGGGACGGCGATGACGGCACCCCATTTGTAGGTATCAGTGTATTTCATCGCGAAGCTGATGATGATCGCCCAGGTGCACGAAACGATATTGAAGATGTTCGTGATATATCCGGCCTTGGAAACTGAAAGCTGGAACACGACCTGGAGGTATGAGGAGTACATCATACGGTATGAGCTAGTAACTGATGTCAGCACAGATTTCTCGCGGGTTTCGAATGACTTACTAAAAAGCAATCCAGGAGTTGCAACCAAGCAGGCATGCCGCAATGATCGAACGGTTCTTCATGAGGTAGTATGGGAAGAGGGCATGGCTAGCGTAGTAACGCTCCCAGGCCACGAATAACAAGATGAGGCAAAGCCCGAAGCTGACCATGCATATGAACATTGGAGAGCCGAAGCCGTCCTTTTGGTAGACTGCCAGAGGCCACGGAAGAAGAAGCAGGGAGAATCCACCGGTGATGAGTAAGACCCCGATCACTATGGCTATTAGCAGGGAATGGAAGTCTCACTGCAAGTTGAACTTACCGTCAAACTCGGTACACCAGTGCTTGGTGCTCTGCCAGACTGTCCTGCCACTCGGCTCGCGCGAGATGACGCCCATCTTTCTTGCTCGCCTACCCATGAGCCAGAAGACGAGCCAGAATGATATCGAGAAGACTGGTGTCATGATAGCGAAAGATCCATAGCCCCAGCGCCAAGTGCTGTGGTTGAGCCAGGTTTCACCAAGCTTGGGACCGGCCTAGACACGATGATGTTAATATACATCCAACCATCTCCCAGAAAGGGGACTTACGAATGTGTTGACAACGTAGGGGAATCCAGTGAACGCCATCCAGATCAAACGGTTTTGCATAAGCGCGGTATCGGCGATGAAAATGTTGAAGATGTAGTCGACGCCGTTCATGCCGGTCCAGTAGATGACTTGCGCGGCACAAAAGGTTTGGACGTTCTGGCATAGAGCCATGAGAATGAGCGCTACAAGGACACTAGTCAGCACTGACGATGTACACTGAAGAATCGCGATGGACGCCTTCCTCTGGTCCTTGAGCTTCGGGTCCATGGGTCTCTTCGCAAGATGTTGGGTTATTTGGAGTGGAAGAACTTACAAGCGACAATGAACATCAAGCAAAGAAGAAAGCCGTGGGGCCGTCCAACGATATCAATGAACTTGGCCAGCGGAAGCTTCGATACGCCTCCGACAATGTTCGCAACGATATCGGTGATAGCCGTAAGACCGTGCATCATGAAGGCCGAGGTGACGTAGGGGCGCCATGAGAAGTTGGTTTGTTGTTGAAGGGAGTTGACGAAAGAGATGAGCATGATCCTATGGGATGTAAGCATTACTGTATGCATCGTAGCAGTACAAAGCATCACCGGGCAGAAGATGAACCGCAGTAGCGAGATGGACTTACGCAGCATAAGCGGCAATCAGCCATTTCTTCGTCCAGACAACGGTCAAGCCCTCCATCTCAGCCGGACCTCTGGCCTGCTCCGCGCCTTCGCCATCGACAGCGGGATAGGTGTTCATCGAGACATTGCTGTCGTACTTGGCCGTAGTGCTCGGCGGCTTAACAGAAGAAGCATCGGCCGCGATCTCGGGGGTGTCGCAGAACTCGCAGCGCTCCGTGGGAGTCATTCCGGCCATCCTGTCGATCTGGGGGACGTATCCGCTCGCCATGGTGTACCTGCGGTCGCTGGTACTGCGCATGTTTAGTTTCTTCATCTGCGGCTGCAATTGGGGAAGCTAAGTACCTTGTCGCGGAACAAATGCGACGGAATGGCGACAGCGGCGAGTTTGGGTAAAGAGCAAACTAATCGCAGTTTGCGATTGAGTGTATGGTTGTTTTGCTTGATTGACGCGGCCAGGAAGTTCTAGAGACGCAGCTTGAGAAATTGCGCACGGACAGTGAAGGTGACGGGGAGAAGAGGAGGAGAACGGAAGCGGAGGATAATGCCTCACGGTGATAAACAAAGATTGCGGGGTAGTCGTCATTTCCGGTGAGCACATTTTCTTAATGGGGGATATGGGGACGTGTAGGGCAGGAGCGTCATACTGGAAGGTAGTCACGATGGTGGTTGAGCGCATTACATGTCACTACATGATCTTTGTGCAAGAGTGCGCATCTCCGCTTAGGTACTATCATGCGGGTCAGTGCTATTGACACCCTTGCCGTAGAAGCGCTCGTGTCTGAAGTCAACTTAGAAATAAACATAATGAGCTGGTATCATCGTCTGGTTGACACGGAGTGACGAGCCTCTCACTCCAACTGTGAAATCAGGGTCCACTTAAACCCGGATATACGCGACTCTCGCAAATCCCAACAATCTATTCTCTTTCTCTGGGTTTATATGAGACGTGCAGAGGTGACTGATAGAAGATGCTCTGACCCTACGATTATGGCGTCAGGAGAGATGTCGACAGTGACTCCGCATGCAATGGTACCTTGAAGCGAACATTTCGGGTTGGCTCTAATAAAACAAACTCATGCCTTACGCGTAGCTACATTTTGAAACAGACCAACTGTCTCCGTCCTGAAAAAGACACTCTGCCATCCCATGATCATGGTCCTGTTTCTCGTCAAACATATGTTGACATCCCCCAAGATTTGTTGAATGCGAACGCCCCTGCATCATGCTGCCAGTACTCTCCCTCAAACGTAGCGCCAGAACTCCCAGAACCGCCCCATCAGACTCACACACTACGAGGTCTGTAGGCTGATCTGCTCAACGCCTCTCGATACCTCCTCCTCGGCAGTCTTGGCTGCAGGTCCGTCTTGACCCTTCTCTGCAGCTTCAACACCCTTGTCAGCACCGGCAGCCTTCTTCGCCTTCTTGCGCTCCTTCTCTGCCTTCTTAGCGGCCGCCTTCTTAGCCTTCTCCTCCTTGGCTTTGCGAGCCTCCTCGCCGCCAAATTGCTCGCGCCACTCTTGCTCCTTTTCAGGTTTGATCTGGGTGAAGAGATAGCCGGCAGTGCCGATCTTGTGGCCGACGGGGATAGATTGCGCCTCCCACTTGTCGGGGATGATGAGGAACTTGGCATTCAGCTGGGAGAGGATGGCGGCTGTCGTATCGGGCCTGTGTTATGGTTAGCTATAGATTCCGTACTCCGATGTCGCTTATGCTGCTCGACCAAGTGTGCAGTCATATGATGAGACATATTCAAAACTTACATGTATGGTTCGATCAAACTGGCGAGAAGGTGGATCTGGCTTAAAGCGAGCCCAACGACAGCGGCGCAACGATCTGGCTGTTCTGTAGCCAGCTTGTTGTCAAGTCGATTGTCTTGCAGCAGCAAGTTGCCCAAGCTCGAGACATGAAGCGCGGTCGCGAGTGCGGCACGAATCTTGACATCCTCCAGCTCGGTAATGTACGTCTTCAGCAGATCGTTGACCTTCTTCTTGTGCTCGGTGAAGTACTCATCGTCGTACTTGGTCCAGTCCGGTACGACGGAATCGTATATCTTGGCGTTGTTGACGAATTTGATCACGCGGTTGATGAAGTTGCCTAGGTTCTTCAGCAGCTCGTTGTTGTTTGCGGCAATGAAGCCGTCCCACTCGAATTCGGTATCTCCAGTTTCCGGCCGATGTGAGAGAAGGTAGTAGCGCCAGACGTCAGATGGAATGCCGGTCTCCTTGGCGTTGTTGCCAAAGACACCAATGTTCCTTGACTTTGAGAACTTGCCCTTCTCGTAGTTCAAGTATTCTGTGGTTGAGATGGTGTTGAGCATGGTCCAGTTGTCCTTGGTACCAATCTGCGAGCAGGGGAAGACCACCGTGTGGAACGGCACGTTATCCTTGCCCATGAACTGGTAAAGCTTGACGTGTTCGGGGTTGTGCCACCATTTCTTCCAGTCCTCGGTGTAGGTTGCTGTAATCGACACGTAACCTATGCAAGCGTCGAACCATACGTACATAACCTTGTCCTCGTAGCCCTGATACCGGTCAGCTGAATTTCGTCGTGTTCGAAAGTATGTCGTACCTCAAGCGGCACCGCAGTTCCCCACTTCAGATCACGAGTGATACCACGCGGTCTTAGGCCCTCTTTCAACCACGATGAAGTAATGTGAACACCATTGGAGCTCCAGTTACCCTCCTTGCTCGCCTTCTTGAACCATTCCTCTTCTGATGGCTGCAGCTTGTCCAGGCAAAGGTACACATGCTTGGTCTCGCGCGGAACGGGCGTGGCGCCATCGAGCTTGCATCGTGGGCTCTTCAACTCGAGCGGGTCGAGAAGATGTCCGCACTTGTCGCACTGGTCTCCACGCGCGTCTTCGTATGCGCACAACGGACATGTGCCCTCGACGAATCGGTCCGCAAGGAAGCTTTTGTGTGTCTCGCAGTACGGTTGTGTCGTGGTTTGTTCCTCGAGGAACCCGTTCTTGTACAGTTTGGTGAAGATGTCTTGCGCAATATCGGTCTGTTGCTGTGTGGGTGTGCGTCCGAAGTGGTCAAAGCTGATATTGAACCACTTGTAGACCTCGCTGTGCAGCGCGTAGTACTTGTCGCATAGCTCCTTCGGCGTACACTTCTCTTCTATGGCCTTCGTCTCCGTTGCTGTGCCGTATTCGTCTGTTCCGCAGACGTATAGTGTGTTGTACCCTCGGGCGCGTGAGAAACGTGCGAAGACATCGGCCGAGAGTACGGAGCCGACGATGTTGCCCAGATGCGGGACATTGTTCACGTAGGGGAGCGCGCTGGTAATGAGCACATTCCGCTCGCCCTCGACGGGCAGTATCTTCTTGGTTGTCTCAGTCATGGGAGGATGTATGCTGTTCTTGGTCAGCTTGTTGAAGTGAATGGAGAATCGACGATGCAGCTCTTACTCTGGTATTGCGAGATGTGTGATTGGATGTGAAAAGGTTGAGAGAAAAGCGAGCGCGCAATGGGGATATATGCAGCTTCGCGTTTCTTTGGTCGAGTTTCTGAGTCAAACGCGAATGCTTGACGCACGGCGGGTGTGTGGTAGCTGCCCCGCCTAAACTTACCCCACCAGCCAGTGACGCCACAGATGGCTGAACCCTGACTTCGATCTTTGCAGCGAGGGTAATGTCACGGTCTAAAAGTTAAATGCACAAAGATCTCACTCGAACAGCATACGGAGGCTTGAATGACTGTCTGATGTATTGAGCACGGGTTGTGATTATCTTTCAACAAAAGACAGAATAAAATTCTTCCACATGACAAAACACTCAAAACAGTCATCATCTGAAGAATAGTGGACAGCACTACAACGGTACAATATATACACTACAAGATTCTCTACCAAAGCGATTCTCGAACGGACATACATCTAAAATCATGGCATCCCAACCCACCAACCCATCAGCCACCCGCACCCCCTCACCCGACCCCTTCGACGCCCTCCTAACCCTAGAAGACACCCTCTACACCACCGCCTACAACCTCGGCGTCTCCGACGGCGCCCACGCAGGCCGAATCGAAGGACGAATTTTCGGTTTAGAAAAAGGCTTCGAAAAGTTCGCTTCTCTGGGAGAACTTCATGGGCGGAGTGTAGTTTGGGGATCACGGTTACCAGGTCTCACATCTAATTCCACACCAACATCAAAGCACGAAGAGGAGGAAAGCAAATCACTACCGTCCCTCCCGAACAACTCCCGCCTTCTCAACAACACAACACTCCTGCACTCCCTAACCGACCCCCTCACCTTCGACACCGCAAACACCGAAGAAGGCGTCGCGGATTTCGATGATAGGTTCAAGCGAGCAGGCGCCAAAGCCAAGGTCATCGAGCGAATCGTTGGCGAAGCCGACGCTCGTAACAGGGAAGCAGACAGTCACACGTCTGCGAAATCACCTGATGGATCACGATCACCAGCAAGAGGGAAGACGGGGCCGGTGCGAGTAACTGGGCAGAGCAAGGCTGGTGGAGCGAAGAAGGGGGATGATAGTATAGAGGATTTCGCGGGGTCCAAGTTGTTGCGCTGAAAGGGGATGGTTGGGAGTCAAGTACTTCTGGGTGTTGACTTGGGGCGGGTCGGGCGGCGCAGAGCCCTGTCCGTCTCGATGGGGAGAATGGGAGATGAGGATCTGCGGTCGTATCATCTGGTATCCCGTGGCTGCCTCCCTGGGATAGAGCGGACTGGGCCATCGTACCATGCCCAAGATTATGGCCTGACATGGCTACACCGGCGGAAAGAGCGAACTACCAGGCAAACGGGTCAAAAGACACCAAGCCATCACACAGCCGCGCAAGAATGATGGAAAAGCACTAGGCTTCAAATTACTCCGCTATCCTAGAAGGGGACCCGGGCACAACCCAAGGTCACAGCTCAACCACTACACCGTGCTATGACATACGAGATGAAGAAAGATAATAAGAATCCATCGTAACTAAAAGGATATTGAGAAAGGTGTCAAATCGAAAGTGTGCCGCAAAGTCTCCTGCTCTCCCTTTTCGTGCTAGATGATGCACTGGTATCAAAAACATGTCGCAAATGCCCCCCTTGCGAGGGACGCACACCTAAACCACCTCCGCTCAGATAGCATCGATCATAGGGACAGGCCTTTCCATGCGTGGCTCCATACGCGGTGGTGGAGGGCCGTTGGGCTTGCCCCCGCTACTATCGACGCGGTTATGATTCGGGAACTCCTAGTACCCGTTCATGGTCATGCGCTGGCTGTTCCTGCTGAGCTCGCGATCGGCAGAGGGTGAGATGGGGCGCGAGGAGTGGCCCTGGTGGGAGCTCTCCTTGAGGGCAAGCAGCTGCTTGGCACGGAACGACTCGTAGTGGATTTGTGCGGTCGTCTCGATCAGGTCTTGCAGGTGGGTGCGGGTGAGGAAGTTGCGGAGGTAGACAAATTCGCAGTGGTTCTCGTCCTCGACTGGGGGGTGTTAGAGCAGTTCGCATAGAGGGGGGATCATGATGGCCTACCGTTGATGATGCCCCACTTGTTCTGGCGACCACGGACGTTCCTGCCGTTGACAACAACGGTCCTCTCAGAGCCGACGACGGCAAAGGGAAGGAGTTCCTAGTGAAAGTTAGCAGACGTCCAGTCGCACCTCGAAATGTCCCTCACCTTAATGGCCTGCTTTGCCTGGACTTCCTCGTTGTCATCCTCCTCGTTGTCGTAGGGGTACATGCGCAGGTTGTGGAACTGGAACTCCTCCTTTATCCTGTGCTTGAACTCGGCACGCTCCTCCAGGGTCAAGCTGTCGCTCTTGGCAATGACGGGCACGACGTTGACGAACTCGCTCAGCTTCTTGAGGACGACAATGTCGATGGGCTTGAGGGCGTGGCCAGAGGGCTGGATGAAGAACAGGCAGCAGTGGATGCGCGTGTCCTGGAGGTAGCGCTCACGCTGGGCGGTGAGCTCCTTGCGGAGGTAGGCGCTGTGCTGGTCCTTGATGTACTTGACAATGGGGTCCCAGCAGCGCTCGTTGTTGATCAGGTCGCCGTAGCCGGGCGTGTCGACGATGTTGAGGCGCAGACGCACGCCGTTTTCCTCGATGATGTGTGAGACGGGGTGGATGTTGGTGGTGCTGCGGACCTCCTCGTCGGGCTGGAAGCGGCCCTTGGAGTCCATGAGGTGCGAGGCAAAGAGCGTGTTGATCAGTGTCGACTTGCCGAGACCAGTCTGTCCTGTACACCGTCAATACCAATGGAGACACGTGATAGAAAAGATGCCTACCAACGCAGATGACATTGAACTGGAAGCCCCGCTTGACCGACTTGCGCTCAATCTGCTTGGTGATGCTGTCGAAACCGACATAGCTGTCCGGGAAGATGGGCTGCGACTGGTTCTGGTTGTATGCAGCAGCCATTGTGGATGATGGGAGCCTCGGGGCGCGGACTGGGGGTGATGGGGGTGGGTGGGTGAATGGGAATTAGGTTGGGGAGAGGAGGGTCGGAGGTGTCGTCGTAATAGAGTAAATAGTCAGGGTCGCTGCGCTGGCGACTTTCTCGTGGAGATGCAGGCGCGGGAAAGGGGGCAGCTAGGAAGCGAAAGCGCGCTAGTGGGAGGGCGGTAAGGCGCGACCTGCAAGCTCGGACTGGGGTCACGACATTTTACAACTCCATCACCGGCATCGCCATTTCGCGGCCCTACGTAATCCCGTCGCAGCCAGTCACCCGCCGCAGTCATGGCACTCACCCGCCCGCTCCCTCCGCTGTGGCAGACGCTCCTACCGGGTCTCAATGGCCCAATGCGGCCCATCCTGAACACGCCTTTCCTGCAACGCCTATCACAGCCATTGGGCGCAATCAACACACAGTTCGGCGCACTCGCAATACCGTCCCTATCACTCCCCTCAATACCGTCAATATCCGATATCTGGGACGGCATACTCAATGCAGTACCCAAGAAGAAGACGTCATACCGCAAGAAGCGCCAACGGTTCATGGCGGGCAAAGGGCTGAAGGACATCACATCGCTCAACACATGTTCTGGGTGCGGAAGAGTCAAGCGCCTGCACATTTTATGTCCATACTGTGTGGATGGTAAGACATCCATTCCCCACATGAAGAGAACTATCCGCTAACAAACATCCCAGCCATCAAAACCAACATCTTCGGCCAGCTCAACTGGGCCATCCGCCGACCGACCGACAAGCAAGTGAAAGTGATGAAGAGGGAAAAGCGCGAAGAGGCGCACCGGGTTCGGACCATAGAGCCCGACCAAAGGAAGGTGAAGGAAGAGGCAGTATTGAAGCACACGGGCTGGAAGAAATGATGCGGGGTGGAGGAAGTTTTGAACGAGAATTACATAGGCTGAACGAGATGATGCCAGGAGGTTGGAGAAAGCGTGACCGAGAATTACACAGGGTGAACGAGATGATGCGTGGAAGTGGGAAGAAGCGTGAACAAGAACAATGGGCACGTAGTCTGGATGACTGTATTTGTAGCGCATATAAGCCGCGGCTTAGGCGTTGGGATTTTGTACATGAAACATGTAACAACATAACGGACAGGCGAACACGATATACACCACAAGCAAATGCACACCAGATCAAGCAATCCAAGGTGTCCTCAGCACCCTCATCTATTGCACCACCCAATATCCTATAATCACACCCTGCCTCCTCTCCCATCCATCCATTACCTCTTCTCCCCCAACCCATCCCCTCTCAGCGGCGGCGACCCAACCGTACTCCCCCTCCTACTCGCATCGCCCTTCCCCTCCGCTGCCTCCCTCTCCAAAAAGTCCTGCCACAGCTCCGCCAACGACTCCTTGTTACTCGAGCTACTAGCCATGAGCATAGGGTCTGCGGCAGCGGCGCTCAGTGACGCCGTCGACGGTGTTCGTCTGAAGGGCGAGGAGAGGGGGATGCGCAGGCCGGTTGAGCTGGATGAGGTGCCCGGGCGAGCGAGACCTGCTTGCTCTTTTTGCTCTGGGTGGGGTGTTAGTTGGGGGGAAGGGAGGGAATGGAGGGGTGGATGGGGGGTTGGAGAGGGGGAGGGAGAAGGGAGGTCCATACCATCTGTCCAACCCAACAACGCAGAAATCAACTGCAACGCCTCAAATTTCTTCGGATCACTCCTGTCTATACTCAGGAAATGCAAAAAGTAGTTTGTGATAATCTGTCGATCGACGTTATCCTCCGGTCGTCCTTTTTTCAGTATCCGCAGTGCTTTGGTGAGGTGCTCATTGAGTGTTACGGCTTCATGTCGCAGTTTGCCGATTAACAGGTTCTTCTCCTTGACTTCCTTCTCGAAGGGGAGGGCGCGCTCGAGATCTTTTTGCGTAGACTCGAGGGTGGCTTTGGCGGCGTTGGATGCTGATTCCGCGGCTTGAACTTGTTTCCGCAGGTCGTTGATTTGCGATTCGTAGGTTTCGACGGACTTTTTGAGCTCGGCTTTTCGTACTAGACATTGTCAGTTGGGAAACTCCTGTCGTGGAGGGAATGGAACTCACGGTTTTGTACTTCCTGTAGCGCCTTCTGCAGACCCTCGACAGCTTGATTATTGGTGTCCCTATCCCTGGCAGCGCGTTCGTACTCTTCCCGCATCGACTCCAGCTGGTCTCGCAACTCAGCATCCTTCTCAGCCAGGTTCTCGCGCAGAGATCGCTCGTTCATGGCCAACACTTCCCAGTCTTGCATGGCTTGTTTGGCGTTCTCGAACTCCTCCCTAGCGTATGCTTCTCGCGAGATCAGCTCATCGCGTTCCTTGATCCAGTTCTGTTGCGACAGGGTAGACCTGCTCCGTAGGGTCTCGATCTCAGATGCCTGGGCTTCTTTTTCTTGCCGCAGTTTTGCGAGCTCCTCGGTCAGGCTGTTGTTGTTCTCTTGTAGCTCGCGGGTTTGCTCCTCGAGCTCGGCGATTTGCGACTGGAATTCCTCGATTCTGGCCTGCATTGGGTCAGTACTCCGTCTGTTGCAAAATCCTATGCAGACATACCGCATCTGCCTTTAGCCGATCGCCCAGACTGGTCTTGATCGTGTTGACCCTGCCGAGCAAGTTCTTGTATTGTGTCTCGAAGTGCTCCTTGCCTTCGTTGGCCTCATCCAACTCCTCCCTCAAACTCCGCATCTCCTCCTCATGATTCGCATGCGACTCGTCTGAAGCTCCCGTGTTCTGCTTGTTCTGAACCTCCTCCAGACTCCTCCTCAGCTCCGTGACCTCCTGCCTTAGCGCATCGCGCTCCTTGGCTATCGCGTCTAGGCGTGCGCTGGCGTCTGAAGGAGGCGGCGGCGAGGCGGAGATTCCTTGTTGCGAGCGTGAGCGTGCCAGTCCAAGCGCAATTGCGGACGAGATGCTGTGGTGTGGAGTTCCGTTTGTCTGCAGGGTCGGCGACAGCGGCGGTTGGTCGTCGTCTACGTCGTCGGCGTCTGGATCGGCTGAATGCGCGGCGGGCTTCTGCATTGACACCATTAGTACTCGTGGCTGTATAGAGGGCTCTCGTGGACCGCATACAGCCTGCTCGGTCTCATCCTCGGCGTCTTCGTCGTGATCCTCCGCGTCGCTTCTGGCGTGGTCCCCATTCACTTTGTCTGTGCCGTCCGCCTTGTTCGCAGCGGCGGCTTTCTTCTTGTTCTTCTTTTTCTGCGACTTGGACAAAGTGCCTGTCGTCGCCTGTTAGCGTATAATTCTTCCGTGCTCCCACATCGGCCGCGACGTGAAAGCGGAGTTTACTGGCACCTCCGAGGGCTGCAAGCTCACCTACCACTCTGCTGTATGGGGTCCGATGTAGTCGGCGCAGACATCTTGAAAGACGCGTAGTGCAGTCGCTACCGCATCAAGAAGACTAGGTTTTACGGAGGAAAGAGGCTCTGGGGGTTCTGGGGAGCATTCGTGGATGTCTTGACTTGGCAATTCGTGTCCCGTTCTATGGTTTGTTTCGGCCCACGCGGTCCACGGGTGGCGTACGTCACTAGCCACATCTCACTATCGTCCCATCTTTAGACCAACCCATAAGGGTGTAGGGGGGGTCTCGGCAATAATCGGACGATTACTTTTAGCTAGAATTCTGCTAACACAATAATCTAACTATTAATATAGAAGTTGCTATTAGTAATATTATATTTTATTATAATCTTATTTGTATAGAAAACGCTTAGAAAACAGATCTAACTTAAGATATTTTTTACTAAGAAATACTTTGCTTTAAAAATAGATATTTTGCAAAAATAATTACTAGTATAAAAGTAGTATATAGACTACATTAGTAGAAAGATCTTTATTAAAACTACTATAAATAGCTAGTAAGTAGTAGGTAGCCGCTCTACTAGCTATAAGCAGCTAGAATTAAGTTAAAAAGCTAGGTAGGTAACTACTAATAAGCTTTTTACTCTTCTTTTTTACTAGGCTATTTCTATTTTTAATTATTTTAGGAAAAAAGCAGTTTTGCGCAGTAAATAATGTTTATTCCTTTTAGATCTTAGAGTTAAAATAATGTTATATACGTTTTGTCCCTAAAATAATTCTAGCTACAAGCTCTCCTAGAATTGTGTAGGGATAATTGTGAAGAACCCCCCAAGATCGGTATGGACGCAGGCCCCTCGTAGTCATCAACACGCTTTCGACAACTTGTACATCGTCTCGATAACAAAGGAGACACATTCTATGTGTGCACAGCTTCACGACTCGAGCCATCAGCGACAGCGAGCCAACCTTCGCGGGGTAGCCGAGCCCTCCGACATCTCCTGCAATCCAGCTCAAACAAGCCAAGACTGACCGCGTAACCTGTTCGATCCTCCAGACCATGAAGTACTACCGACCGCTATTCTACTCTGCCGTCACAATCATTTATGCCTCGTTCACGCTCCGAGTCCTCAGACTAGGTCTCCTTCCAAGATTGATCAGTCAGAAACGGGATCCAAAAGCCTCGTAAGAGGGCGTGTCAGATATTCGAGAGAAGTCAGCAATTCTGTTACTCGAAAGCTCCTCAAGGAACTCCCATCACTCACTGAAACGTCAGTCGTCCACGACAACGGCTGCGGTCCCGGCGCAGTGACCATGGCGATGATGGGAAGCAATCCCCCAACAGGTCTCAAGATTCACGCCACAGACGTAAACCCCATGTTTCTCGCTCAGCTGCAAGCCAATCTCACCGACAAGCCCTCGTGGCCAGTCAAAGTCGAAACAATGGACGCATGCAACCTCACCTTTGCAGACAACACCTTTGACAGCGCCACGAGGATATGTGGGACGAGGTGCTCGACTCCATCGTGGACGAGTTGCCTCGTAATCAGTGGTTCAAGGTTGAGGGTGGGGTGAATAAGATAAGGATGGTTGCTGATGTTGCCATTGTTACGAAGAGAGGTTTGTGAGTGGTTTTCTTCCTGTGTATACTCTCTGACAATCTAGATCTGTACAAACAGCTACGGTATAAAGGCTCCGATTTTCTGGTTATCGAGTGCGCCTGCTTTGGCTTTTCTATACTACACGTCCAGTCGCTTGTATTCACTCTAACTGCTGTGGCGACCGTACCTTGTCTTATCATACGAAAGTTTTGTGGATCCCTTGAGAAGGTAATGAGCTCATTCCTCAGGCTACCGAACTCACCAATATGGCCATATCAGTCTTTCACAAGACTGGTTCTACGTTTCCTATCTGAGAGTGATAAATGCACTTCTAGAGCAGAGACAGCCAGCCAAACCCCGCTCATCATCACGAGCACAAGTCCATGACTGTATATTGGCCAAAGCTTCCGCCAGGAACGTTTGCTCCTTTACCATCGCCTTCAGGCAGCACACGATAATCCGATGAGGCAATCGCGCTAGCAACAAGACTCTGCTTTGTCTGCGTATATAGATCCGCCCACTCTCCTGTTTCCCAGTCTACACATCGACTCTCAATCTACTCAGTTGTACCAAAACCTTGTACAATATGCAGCTCTTACTTCTCCTCCTCGCCGGTCTTTTTGCGACCCTGACCTCCGCATGCGGTTTTCCCTTCAACAACAATCGTCTCACCAACAGCTCCTTAGTCGACGACTTCATCGCCGACCTGGAAGTATCTGGACAGCTCGGCGATAATGGCGGCCAAGGCTGGATGTCAGTCATCAACGATCGGATTCCAGATAGAACGGTCTGGCCCGATCTGGGCCCCGAAAATGACCCATACGTTTGGATCGATTACTGCTATGCCACTGAGAAGGACTATAACGAGCTCCACGACGTCGGTTAGTATTCCTACATGTCACCTTCCACATCACGAATTTCGCGAGTACTGACTCTGTTTACCTCAGTGGAGGACGCAGCAAAAGAGTGGATGACCAAGTTGGGCAAAGGTAAAGACAATGGACATCGATTTGCTGGATTCCGTCACTACTACTACGAGGGAGTTTATCCACGTTGTGATAAGGATGACGAGTGGAACGAACTCGTTCCCGACGGTACACTCCTGATCAAGAAATCCTTTGATGATTCTGCTTCAGCAACTATTGGATTCATCCCAGAGACACAGTAAGTCGGTCATTGACAAGGATTATAATTCAACTGTCTATTATCAGGTTACTAACATCTTTTTCCTACTCCAAGAAACAGTAAACCCGATCGACACAGTCTGCTTCTTGTAGTGCGTCCTGCTGAGTATTGGAAGTGGGAAGTGGCTCATGAGCTGGGTCATGTTCTTGGTTTTGAACATGAGCATCAGAGGAAGGACCGTGAGCTTTTTCTGCTAGACAACCTCTCTATTCCGGCTAACAAGTTCAGGGGACGACCACGTCAACTTCGACTGCTCCAAACTCTACGGCTACGAGACTGCCAAGAAGAAAGTGGAGACTGAGCCCGCGTGGGAGGGGAAGACCATTGAGGACGTCTGTGGATCCAACTGGTTGGGATACATGCACGGCCTCCATTTTGCAGCACCAACCGCGTACTGTACCGACATGGGTCTTGCAAAAGATGACAGGACACCATTGGCACAGTACTCGGATACGACATACAACTATGACTCCATCATGCACTACTACTCTCAAGCGTTCGCTGCAAATCAGCGAGGTGCCGTCAACGAGCTACCCCTTGTACGCTGGAAGAATGGACGACCCAGTGACGGTTCGGGGCCGAACGATGAGAACGCACAGATCATTCCAACTTGGAGCGTTATTTCGGATGGAGATAAGAGCGGTGTTCAGCATTATTATCCGTACGCGGGACCTACAGAAAATGAACAGGATCAAGGCGTACAGGATGTAGGAGTATGGGGTTAGCAAGACATTGATGGTAGAGAAAGATGTGTGGACAGCAATATACCAAGGTCAGGTAGATTGTTAGACATAAACACGGTTGTTCGGGTAGCCTCAATACATGAATAAACATGGCCTTTTCACGCACGTGCGTATTGACTGTGATGTCGGTGGTCGGTCGAGGGTCCCTGAAATCCTCTGACGTCGCCTGGACCCTGAGGCTAAAGTCGCCGGTTCCCCACATCGGGGCCGTTGCGGCAGGTACCACAATGACAGCACCACCTCACCGGAAACATCGTTCGGTATCCGACCGAGAGCCGTGCATACTTATACGCAATATCAAAATGCTTTTTCTGATGATATACCACGAGACTGACGTCGCACTCGAATACAGACCTAGACCACGCACTATCGACATCATCAGACCATTGTTCAATCTTGATACCTACGAAGCAATCACTTAACTCACGATCGAAGCTTTGAAAGCTTCACACTCAAGATGGCGGCCACGAACGTTGCGACAAACGAACTCAAACTCGACTTATCAAACATGAACGGTATTCACGGAACTAACGGTACCAACGGTACCAGCGACTTCTCCTACGGGTTCTCTCACGCAAACGGCACCAACGGCACCAATGCGAAACCCCTCCCAATAGTGATCGCAGGAGGCGGTTGCGTCGGTCTCTTCCTAGCCCTCCTCCTCGCACAGTCCGACATACCAAACAAAGTGGTCGTCATCGAACCACAACAGCCAGACCCCATGTCAACGCGCGCAATGGCACATCAACCGCCTACATATCCCATCCTATCCAAAGTCGAAGGCTTACTACCAGAGTTGGTAAAGACAGGAAGTCTAAGCTCAGGCCTCTGTTTCCGAACGAGCATCCAAAACGGCAGCAAAGTAATCGCAGAAAAAACATTCAACAACACCGGCGAAGGCATGAAAGGAAAAGGCCAACTCCTCCTACCACAAGGAAAATTCCAACAAGTCCTCCTAAAGCGCTTATCCGCTCTCGGTGACGAAAAAGCCGAAGTACGCCTCGGAACCAGCGTCTCATCCTTCAAATCAACCCCAACCAGCGTCACCGTGCAAATCACCCCCGAAGCCACCTCCCTGCAACTCGGCGACGAAACGCTCGAAGCCACCTACCTAATCGACGCATCCGGTGCCCACTCCATCATCCGCAAAGACCTCAACATCAGCCTAGAAGGCGAAACACTCGACGCGCAACTCGTAGCCACAGACCTTTATTTCGACTTCCACGCCCACGGCTTCCACGACGCGAATTTTATTGTGGATCCGCTGAACTACGGGCTTATTGGCCGGATTGATCATGCGAAGGATGGGAAACCGGCGCTGTGGCGTGTGAGTTATGGGGTCCCGATTGGGGTGTCTGAGGAGGAGATTATGAGGACGCTGGATGAGAAGTTGGGGGTTATGATGCCGGATGGAGGACGGGATGGGCGGGGGGATAAAGCGTATGAGGTTGTGAGGGTGGCGCCGTATAAAGCGCAACAGCGGCTTGTGCCGTCGTTGTATCATCACGACGAGCGTGTCTGTCTTGTTGGGGATGCGGCGCATTTGACGAATCCGTATGCAGGGCTCGGGCTCGCATCAGGTATGGCGGATGCGTCTTCGCTCTCTGAGGTTCTCATTCGTGTTCTTACTGGGAAGGCTTCGGATGGTGAGAGGTTGTTGAATGCTTGGTCAACGGCAAGGAGAGAGAGCTTTATGAATGTTGTGGATAAGCCTTCGCGGATGGCGTATAAGCGTGTCAAGGCTGATGTCAGCACTGATGAGAAGGTGCAAGAGATGATGAGCAGAGATCCTCTTGTGGGCGCGTTGAAGAAGGGTATGCCCGTTCAGCCGCCGAGTTTGGAGACGAAGGGGGAGGAATTGGAGGGGTGGTGATGGCGAGGATGTTGGTCGTGCGTCGTTGTGGGTTTGTCGTAGATCTTCTCTTGACAACATGGCCTTCCGTTCATTGTGACCTCCACGACCCATCTTCTCATCCACCTCCACCACCTGCAAACGTCACAGTCGTCTCCTCGCCCACCTCACAGCCCACCGCCGTCTTGCCCCATCACCTCGGATACCTCCTCGCCTCGCTGTCGGGTCGCCGGCGACATGCTGAGACGGCATGTCGTCCTCAACGCCATTTCCCCATAGCGTAGTCGTCGGTTTCGTACCGCTGCCTTTGCAGCCCAAAAGTCGTTCATCTCGCTGCCTATGCAGCCTAGTCGTCGTCGTCGTTGTCCTCCTCCTCGTCTTCCTCCTCACTGGAGCTTGGTTCAACAGGCGTGTGGCTCACGCTGTGGGAAATATCCCAGAAATGGTTCCATTTCTGCTTAATGTGCTCTTTGAGCACGTCTTTCTTGGTCAGGAACTTCTTCCTGGTATCGTCGAGCCACTTTCTGAAGGCCATTTGGGTTGGATAGTGGGATTGTTGTTGTGTTGTGGGTATGGTGTGTATGGTGGTGGTGGTGGTGAGAGTTTGCCAAACGGAGCTGAAATAGCAAGCATGGCTGTAGCTGGCCAATTTCCAATACAAGGTGACTGGAGATGCCATGTGGGCTTTAGTAAGCTTGGGCCTTTGGAAACTTGCAAACCTGTGAGCTGAAATGCCTCAATTGTTGTGCTAGTTTGGTGATTTGGCGCTAGTGCGGCGAACTGGGAGCCCCCCAATGCTCGGACATAGTCAACACCAGATTCACGATTGCACTGCACCCACAACCCTCCCTGTCGATACTCACGTCGTTCTACCGCTGCTGGGGGATACATGTCCAGCTCATGTGGTTTCCTGGGACTGTTCTGCGGCTTTGCCTATCGCCGCAGAAGCTTGTGATAACCTGCAGGCCTACCTCATACGGAGCTCTCTACGTTGAAGCTGACATTGGCGACCTCCTGGCGCTGCCGAGAATCAAGGCTTCTTATGTTCTTATTCCACACATGCAGCTGCTGGCGCTCCTTGTGGCGGGGGGCTAGGGTCGTGGGCCGCTCCAAGGCCGCTTTCTCCGTCGAGCCTGGCATCGGCGACCTCCTGGCGACCGAGAGAATCATGGCCTCTCGCATCTTCACCTCCTACATGCAGCTGCTGGCGCTTATTACGGAGGCCGGTGAAGCTCGAGGACCGCCTCAAGGCCGCTTTCTCCGCCGCCGAAGGTCCCGCTACAGCCCACGGTAAGACCCCCAGCCAACACGATGAAGACACCCACCTTACCCCCATTGACTACAGACAGACTCGATGTCGCTCAGAACAGCTTCGCAATTTGGAATTACCCCGCGGCGGAGAACCAACTGCCTACAATCTTCGAGACCCCCGGCCGTCTCCCCGAACCACGACCCCCGCAGCTCCGATCGAGACAACGAAGCCGGACAGGCAGCGCAACGAGGCCCTCATCCATACCTATCATCAAACGGATAGAGCCCTCGAGCCTTACTAGATCGCACCGGCGACAGGGCTGAGGGGCTGCCTCGAGGCGCGGAGAGCTCTTCCATCGAGGACAAAGAATCGACACGGACAAAGAGCACCGCGACCGCCCCTACAACGACAGGAGACTTACTGCTACAAGCGGCATCGTATGAATCCGCCTCGGCGATACATATCACTGCTCCGCTGGTGACAACCTCGTCCCTTGTGGCGTTGGTACTACCAGCCGCACACCTTTACCGATGCATCCGCGCAAGCAACGGCGTCGCGAATAGTCAAAGCCATACAGACAAGCTTGCCTCGTGATGTGCACGATGGCAATCTCATTCGAAGGCATCACTCACCTGATGGCGACACTAACCATGAAGACAGACAGCTTCAGCGAACCGTCGCATGTCCTCAAGCACACAGCGCTGCGTCCGACATGACAAAGCCTCCCATGGCGAGACCGCTGGTCCATGGTCATTGTCGGAAATGCTTCACACCTTACGGATTTACGCGACGACAGACCCACGACGACGAACAGCCATAACCACGAACAACTCTTCATATATCCAGAAGGACCACGATGCCGCTTCGCACCACAACATGCGGGCATGGGCTGCGATACATGGGCGCAACCTATCGGACTCTCGGCGTGGACGGCTCCTCAGACGACGGGAAGATCAACGCCCGCGCAATGCAAGCACAATAGGGAGGGAAGAGTGGGGTTCATATCTGCTCTTTCATACGGATGTATCTTCTCCCGGCTACGGGATGCCGCATGGTGGAATGTCCAGGGTTGTCGTACCAATACCGGCCAACTCTTACAACTTTGGTGGTCATCCCAACCTTCTACAAATGACGAGCGAGGAATTTTGTGCTGCAAGATTGCAAACGTCAGGCTTCAACGTCTGGAAAGTCCGGGCACAGGCAAGAGCTGCCTGAGTCGCCTCACCGCAGTAGCGAAGTGATCATCCCGATTTTGTTTGCTCATTTGCAAAAAGGCCTTTGAGTTCCAGACATGCTGCAACTTCATACCGACTAGCGCAGCCTGAAGTATCATTCGGCTGTCGTCCGGAAGACTGGAGTTCTCGAAGTCCAAGCTCTTAATAACACCATGATGCACTTTCATCTGGAGGCCGATGTCGTCCTTGGGGTCGAGCACGAGGCTGAAGGCAGGGGTTTGCGACCACATCCAATCATCAGTCTGCGGACGTTAGCAACGACAGCGAGAAGATTGAGGGCTACGTAAGTACCTGTAGCTCGTCATATCCCTTCTGGATATCGGGAATGTTCAAGTGCTCTTCGCCGACAGTCTGCACGATGCTTGGAGCTCCCAGCTCAGCATACATTGACGCAAACTCCTCTTGGAGACGTTCCCGGAATGTCGACACGTCAAGACCGATGTTGGACACAGGCGAGCTGACACTCTCGACACCCTGGGCTTGTATGACGCTCTTCGCGGGAGATCGCAAGTAGTGGGGTATGATGTGCAGGTTCGGCGAACTCAGCAGCGTCGTCGCATGGTGCAAGGCGCGTTGGCGCGTCAGCTTGTATGCTGAGCCGGACACCTTCAGTGGCCGTGGTCCGCCCTCGTCGATCGTGTAGGGCGTGCGATGCGTGTCCTGAGGGTCGGCCGTGTGCCTCTCGTGCCCTTGGTCGAGGACGATGTCGTGTCGCTCGTTGACTCTGGCGCGCTCGATGCCCAGCTTCCGCAAGGCGCGAACGACCATCTCGGCGTGCAAGTCGCGTGTGAAGTCGCCGCGGGGACATGTGATGCTCCAATTGAGGTTGCCCTCATCATGGAAGACAGTGCCTCCGCCGGAGCGGCGGCGTACAAGGTCGACCGTACCGATGCCCGGGGGCTCGCTGTCTTTGGCGTCGTGGACTCCGCGGGCGGCGTTGAGGATGTCCAGATTGACCTCCGTCCACGGGTTCTGGTTTCGCCCGATGACGACGCACGGCCTGTTCACATAGAGAAACAAAACAGTGCTGTCGGCGGGGCTCTTGCGCAGGATGTGGTCTTCGATGGAGAGGTTGAGGTACGGGTCGCTGCTGCGGGACACGTAGCTCTGCAGCTTGTTGGCGGGGTCGGCGAGCTTCTCCGTGAAGGACGAGTACGTTCGGACTGTCTGCTGTGTCGTATATCGTATCGCGGAGCCTCTCCAAGAGCTACGGAGGGCGTCTTGTCGTCCGGGAAGGAGCATATCGTTCGGGGCAATTATTGTCCAGCCTCTCGAAAGCGAGCGGAAGCTGCGACGAGCCGCATACGGATTGCGACTTGTGCATTCGTATCGTGAGCAGACGCGCTGAGCTTGCGATATGCTCAGACCCCTCGATGGCGCCATGCCGATTGGGTCGATGTCGGTGTTGTGGACATGAAGTTGGCGAGGCGTTGAAGCCGCCAAAGGCCGCCCCACGGCATGCCCGAACTAGCAAGCACCGCCGAATGGCCCCGTTCTTCCCAACGTCAAACCTCAAGGCTGCGATGGCAGTCTCTGCTACCACCACCTCCTGAGCGTCTACGAGGCCTGCGCATCCTTCTTGCACCGGTCCTATCATCGATGCGAAGGGTGATACTGCTTGGCATCTGATCTCGCGCATTTTGCCCCTGATGACCCCGCATCGTGGGCTTGACACGGCTTCCTTGGATGTCGTTCAGGACCACAACATCTCCTGCATTAAGGATGGCATGGCTTCTGCAGCTCGTGCATACTGACCTTCATCTTGTTCGGATCCCCTGTCGTCTATGGTGCGCTGCCATACGTTGGATTATTTCTTTCATTCCTACGTCTTTCGTGAACGTTTTCCTTCGTCACTTCCAGCACGATGCTACTCCTTATCCATGTCACCTTTCCATTCTCCATGTTCATCTCAAGTCTCGTCTCCTTTCCGACCCGACATGTTAAGGCGCCGCACTCTTTGACGGTCGTTGTCACCACGGTACCGCCCCCGCTTTGGATCGCGCCCTCACCACAAGGGCCCACACCACCATCACCGCCGGCTTCACCAAGGCGATATTCAACACCAGGATCATGTCGACTCTTCCCAAAGTCTGATCCTCTTCTCGGGGATGCAAGTATCATCGACCGGAGATATAAAGGGACTTGGAGTCGTACTCTTCCATCAAGTCATCCAGATCAAATAGCCCGGCGGTCAATCGCACTCTCACCTCAAGAGGGACACGAAAGCTAACGAGTTCGAATAGTATCACTACCCGTTATCCTTTCTTGCTTTTCCGCGCCAATATAGGGCTTACCATTCTTTCCTGGCTTCGGCCTTCTTTCGCGTTGTGTTGGCTTCGGCCGTTTTCAGCATTTGCGTTGGCTTCGGCCGTCTTCCACTCCTTCACCCATCATGGTAAGTCCAACATTCCCTTCAGGTCGACCGCTTCGGCTGTTCGATCTGGATGACTTGATCTTCTTTTTTTGCTAATGTGTTATCCAGAATGTGACGTAGCCTTACTGCATAGTTGGTAGTAAAGTATCAACATCCTCCAGAGCCCTTCACCGGCTCATGTCTTCGCATTGCCTTCTATCCTGCAGCATCCTTGCTGCCTCATGTCTTTTTGTCCAGAAGGCATTCACACCCTGTCGTCGCTACACGCACACGCAGCCTGCCAGAGCGTAATGCTGTTGTTCCCCCGCGAAAAGAGCAAACGCGTCATCGCCGCACAACAACAAAATCTCCGCTCCTGCCTACGCCCCCGCAACCGCTGGGAGTCTCCCCTCCGCCTCGCCATCAAGCCCAGCTTAAATCTTTAGGAGAGGAGAAACAGAAGTCCCTTGGCTACATAACCCCCTTAATCTCGCCATCATCCCATCAAAGTCCAAGAAAATAGCGTAGTGGTCCACTCCACTCCCTCCAACACCGCATCAACTCGCTCGTGTTCGAATCCCCGCTAACTCCATCTTCCAGCTCCCCCACCGGCCTAACCTCACCGGTCTTTGGATTAGGGGCCTATCCCCGTCACAGAAGTGTGATGCTAACCAGCAACTTAGTTCGCTAACTTGCAGTGGAGGAATCGGGGGACCTATCGACGTAAGTTAGTATCTTCTCCTTCAACATATAACACGACACTACGCTATTTGAGATGGACTTTCTTTTTTTGCTGTTTGAAGGGTCTTATCTTTTGCATATCGCAGCGGCGGCGGCGGCCTAAGCTGCATGGGTGAGAACATCTTCCCTTGCCCTGCTAGGTCTAAGTGAAGACGGCAGTAGCAGAGGAGGCTTTGCTACGAGCAGAGGCGCGTGCTTCATCTCATCTTTTTTGCCTTGTTGTTGTCTTAGCGAGTCGCATTTTCTCCTCTCCCTCACCCTCTCCACCACCCACATCCCCTCCACACCAGCGACAGCACCAGCACACACCACACCATCTTGCCTACATCACCCTCCAGTCGCGCACACACGTCTCCCCCAAGCCACCCACAAACCTACATACCACCACCGCCGCTCCTCTCCCCATCTCCGCAACTCACCCCACCACCTACATACCCCCCACACCACCTCCATCCGCCTCGCACCACCCAGCCAGGCGACCATGGACCCCAACGCGGTCCTCACGAACACGTCGGTGACGGAGACAACGGCGACAACCCACGCCGGCAACACCACACAGAATGTGTCGGTGGTCCAGAGCGCGGCGACTACAACACAGATTGTAGAGACGGTCGAGGTCATCACGGTCACGCATACGACTACAAAGGTCACCAAGGTCGTGACTACAACGATGAGATAGCGTTGTAGCTATCGGGGTGGTTGGTGGGCACACGTTTGGGGGATTGGAAAGTAGATGTATTCATTATATACACTACTGAAATGGAGTTTGAGGAGTTGAACTGGCGACGTCGGTTCTTGGGGGACTGTCTGCTTTGGTAGCAACAGCGGCCAATTGGTCGACTGTAGCTTGTGTCGCGTCGGTTGAGGTTGGGAGAGGGACTGGTGGGGTAGAGGTTGTGTTTGTTGATGGCGTTCTTGCGTGGTGGCCTTCGTCTTCTTCATCTCGGTCTATCGACTCTTCCCACTCCACGTCATCTTCTGCTGAGCTGGAAGCGTTTGCGCCTTCGGGTTTGCGGGCATGATAGAAGAATCTGAGTAATTAGTAAATCTCGCTTCATAACACAATGGTGATGTTTACTTACACATCAGCATAGAAATGTCGGTCTTTCCTCTTGGCCTCCGCTCTGCACTCCGATAGGAAGACTTCCACTTCCTCCCTCGACCATTTCAGCACGCGCGTGAAGAGCCCTAGTGAACTACTCGGTAGCCAGTCCATCAGATCCTCATAAACAAAGCGACCTAGGAGCTTGAATCTCGCGCCTTTTGCCCACTTCCCTACAGGCCACTTGTAGTTCTTGTAGTTGATACTTTTGAAGCCGGCATTACGAATCTGCGGCGTGAAATGTCTTGGACTGGTGCCATCGAGACCGATCTTCTTGGCTGCATCGAGGAAGTACTCTGACCAGCGGATGAGAGGTGAGTTCTCTGCAGCCACATCCGGATCCATGCATCTGATGGGGAAGGCAAGGTCTTGGCATTCGAGGTAGCCTCCTGGTTTGAGGTTGGCGTACGCCTGCGCGAAGAAACGGTCCCAGTCCTTGATGGCTGCGACCATGGCCCGCGTATGGATGTAGTCGAACTGATCATGGAAAATCCAGTCTTGCTCGCAGTCATCGATGAGAAATTCACAGTTTGGAGGCACTTGAGCGGGTTGTATGGGGCTCAGATCCGTGCCAAGGACGCGAGCGGACGGATGCTCGTCAGCGAACTCAATGGACCAGATGCCAGTTCCACATCCCACGTCGAGCACGTTTTGCACATCTTTTGGGATAGGCGCTCGATAAAGTTTGCCGTCGAGTGTGAGTCTGAAGGCGTGGTGCTGTAGATCCAATCGGTCCGCTTCCACCTAGTGTCGGCATCAGCAACAACAGTGTTACTCAGACCGATAGTTGCACACCTCATCATTGGGCACCGGATACTGTCCCTCGGCATACGCGTGATACCTTCTGCCATTCTCGTAGCGAAAGTTGAACACCGAAGACGTCGCCGACATGGTGTAAGACGACTGATTGTCACCGTAGGCAGAATCACCAAAGTTGGAGTCGCGCTCGTCGCTCTGCCCTTCTGTATCTTCACTCTATTGTGACAGCTGTCAGTCGGGCGAGCTAATACAGCCAAGGTTTGGAACAGGGAACGCACGTCGATTTCGAGCGACGGACCGGAGCTGCTAGCCCCTTCAGCAGTAGAATCATCATGGGCGCTCCCGTTAGTGTCTGTCGAGCTGCTCGAGGCTGACATGTTGTTTTTGTCTTTTCTGGGGTGGAGAGGGGCACGGCGGAGCGGTCATACTGGTGGCCTTGGGCTTCCTAACGGCGCTTTAGATGGATTGTGCGGTATCCAGCTCATTGGTAACCCAAGCGCAGACGATCAATGCTGCGTTGTTAGGTTCGCGTTTTTCAGGCGCCCCGGCCAATCGCATCCGGTGGATGTGTCGTCGGACGGAAGTTCCCAGGCCTTGCCATGTGCCGCGTCTTATTCATGGAGTATCTTGCAGGAATGGCACGTGGGATGGCGTGCATATTCCTTGGAGTTACCCCGTCGGAGTTGGCGAAGGCGGTGTCGGCGTACCCCGAGCGTATAATGGCCGCGCTATCCATAGACGCCTCCGAAGACCAACATCCGCGAGAGTGCTCTGGGGATTTTGAGTGTTTAGTTGATTGCATGCGCAAACATGTGATCGAATTCCGCTGCAATCTGCTGCGGCCAGATACGACTGTAGCATCGGACATGAGCTTTGAGCGGTGGGTGTGGTGCAGGACGGGCTGCCGGGCGTAATCCCCGTGTTGGTGGCCGGCTGCGATTAGCCGACCGTCGTCAGTGGCTGCTGCATGTCGCATCGAGCCGAATCCAGCATGTGACGATGGCTTCTATGTTGAAGATGGTGTTTTTAGAGACACAATGATTAGTATGGTGAGGTTTGTAGTCGGAAGACAGCAGATTGCCGTCGAATCAGCGCCAAGAAGTCGCGCTCGCGTCTCCACCCGCAAGGGGCGCCGATCAACGGCGGCCCTTCAACCGCTGCAAGAGCGTTAGGCATTTCCCGTCGCTAATCGACTTCGCATTGTCGCTATTGCATCAAACCACCAGGTTCCAGGGAAATTAATCGCCGTAGCGTGGGTCGCAGCTTCCCCTTCTGAGCCCGCACAGGTCGCGCTCCATCGCGGATTCTCGACACGACATCCGAGACGCGTCTTCCTCGGCATCCGGGTCGGTCTGCGCGGACTCTGCCTGCCACTCCACAACTCACTCCATCGACAGCTGGATTCAATTCATCCTTCGCTATCCGATC